TTTTCTTTAGCAAATCATGAGGATACGCTCTTCTGTTTGCTATGCTCAAAAGAAAAATAAATGCAATAAATACAAAAAGCAGGAGCAGAAGCTGTAAAGGTAGAACAGGTTAAGATGTAGAGGCAAGATGACATGAAATAGAAATGCATGGAAATATGAAGGTCTTAAAAGACTTTTAAATAATACAATAATACACTTGAAGTTAGGTTTAGAGGTAGTGAATAGCTAAGTTACTGTCCTTTATACAACTGCCTTTTCCCTTTGCATCAATGAAAAGAAAATTAAAAGAAGAATAAGAAGAGGAGGGAAGAAAAAGAAGTAGGAAAAGAAGGAGAAAGAATGAGAAAGTAAAAATTAAAGAGAAAAAACGAGAGTGCCTATAAACAGACAAACAATAACAAAAGTGCCTTCCAATAAAAACCATCAATCATCTTAATGTGGAAAGTCAAAAGCTGTGTTCTCTTTTTTATCATCAAAAGCAAGGTACAGGTGTCTACCATAACTTCTTATACTCCAAATTGTATTAGAGGCTCTAGTAAGTATAGCAATATAGAAAAAAATAATAATAATACAGGCATTTAGAGCTACAAGTTTCCCTCTAAGTACGGCTTTAGCAGCATCCCTTACATTTTGATTTGCTGTTGCTTCATTTACATTGTCTCACAATATTTTCTAATTTACCTTTTGACCTTCTTTGACCCACTGGTTATTGAAAAATGCATTGCTTCATGTCCACATATTTGAGAGTTTTCCAATTTCTATTATCAATATCTAATTTCATTCCTTATGGTCAGAGAACATACTTTGTATTATTTCTATTATTTCAAATTTATTTAAAATTTAAATTTATGGCTTAACATATGATCTACACTGCAGAATGTTCCACATCTACGTTGTTGGGTAGAGTGTTCTATAGATGCCTTATAGGTATACTTGGTTTGTATTATCATTCATCTTTTATTTCCTTATTTATTTCTGCTTTATCCAGTACTGAAAGTGTAATATTGGAATATCCAACTACTCCTTTTGAATTTCTAGATATTTATGTTCATAATATATTAGATACACATTGTTTTATACAATAGCTTTTTTTAAACAACTAAGGAAAAAAGATCAAACTATGTATTTATACTGTTCTTTATAACTACCTAAATACTTTTCATGATGCTCTTTCTTTCTATTGTGAATTTAAATTACCTTCTAGGGATATTTGCTTTTAATCTAAAGGGCTTCCTTTAGTGTTTCTTATGAGGCATGTATGCTGGTAACCAATCCCATCATTTTTTTGTTTCTCTGAGAATATATCTTTTTCAAATACTTTTTTTGAAAGATAGCTTTGCTGAATATATGATTCTTGGTTGAAAGTTTTTGCTTTAAGCACTTTGAATATGTTAACCCACTTTTTTCTGGCTGATATTGTTTCTATAAAAATTCAGTTATTAATTTTATTGGGGCTCCTGTGAAAGGAATAAATCAATTTTCTCTTGCTTCTCTTTCTCTCAAGTGTATAAGTAATGCTTCAATACCATTCTTTGCATGGAAATTTTATAATAAGTCTTGATGTTTGTTAGGTGATTTTCACTTCTTTTGTTAGATTTATTATTGGCCTAAATGTATTTCTTTGCTTTAGTGAATATTACCTGCTAGATGTGTTTTTGGCTAAACCAGATTGGAGTGGAGTTTCCATCTCACAGAACTGGGAGAAGGGATGGATGGAGTGGGTTCTGGTTCACATACTATAGTCTCACCATTCATACAAAACTAGTATATTTTCTTGAATAAATGTATCTTCATTTGCTACTTGTCTCCAGGACCATTTCCAGAGACATTAAATGGTTTTCCTGTGAAAATTTTCAACAGTTTCATTGGGGAACAATTTTGTGGCGCTCCTCACTTTATCATGTCGAAGTGGGACTCTGAGATAAGATACATTTGTATGAATAAAAATTAAGGTTTAGAAGATTACTAGAATTAAAATAAATTTATAAAACAATTGCCTCTTATGCATCAGCAACAGTGATTTGAAAATGTAATGTTAAAAAGGCAATATTTACTAAAGCAAAGAAATACGTATAGTACCAATAAAAAATTTAACAAGTGAAAATCTCTTGTACCACAATCAAAATATTTTATTGACATATATTGAAGAAAATAAGGTAACTACAATCTTGAGATAGAAGACTAAAGATCATAAAGATGTTAGTTCTCTCAAAATTGATTATACTGTAACATAATTTCTACTAAAGTTCTTAAAGGAATTTTCATGGAACTTCACAAAATCTGATTCTATATTTGTCAGAGATTAGCAAAGAAGAAGAATAGCCAAGGTACTCTTAAGAAAAACACAAAAGGAGAAAATAACCTAACGAACGTCTAGGTTTGTTATCAAGTTTTCATATGTAAAAAGCATGGTGTTGATGCAGGATTAAGAAAACAGAGCATTGGAACATAATAGAAAGTCCCTACAAGGGTGAAAATGGACAAAAATTTGATTTCTGAGAGACTGAGCCCTGAAGATCAGTGGATAAGGGATAAGTGACCCTATAATTAACCTTGGAAAAATCTATAGTACAGAAAAAAATCAATTCCATACAATCGCCTACATGTGAATGGTAACATTATAAAAATATTTATGTAATTAATAATCTTTAAAATAAAGTTTAAAACACTAATCATGAAAGAGATTGATCAAATTGACTATATTAGAACTAAAACTTTTATAATAAAAGAAAATGGCACCATAAGAAATAAAGAAAAAAACCACAACTTCATAGAAGACATTTGAAAGTTAAATTAAAAAGAACCATCTCCAATTCTTGAATTGTGTGAAACTACTGATATTTTATTTCCTTTTTTTGTATGTGTACAATAATGACAACTTCATTTGGCCTAGTACAATAGCTCAAAGAAATCAATAATTAATAAATAAATGAAAGTAATAAAAAAAGTGAGGAGGTCAATGGGGAATTGATTTTGCCTGCAGTTAGCAGGTAAAATTTGGCAAAAATGACTCATAGACTTCTTTTACTTAGTTATTAATTTTCTGTATGTAGAAGGGAAACAACAAACATATGCAAATCCCAGGGGTAATAAAAAAATACGAGTATGAGTTTCCTTTAGGACCCACCAATGCTTTTCTAAGTAATAAAATGGAGATAATTCTGTTCTGCAATGAGTAATATTCCTGCTGCAGTTTCTAAATTATCACTATAGATTGTTTTAAAGGGAGAACATGCAAAGATAGTTTCTCACATAAATAATGTCAACCACAAAAAGACAAAAGTCTCATTGTAATTTTATTAATTGCATCATGAAGAACAATTCCCATCTTCTATTTTGAACTATGGTATATGAAATCATCCACAAATGTTCCTTGCACTAATTAACTGTACTCAAACTTGTCACACACTTTCTGAAAATATAACACAGCTATATATTCAGTATCTGATTTGAGGTAATGTTCTCCTGTTTTTAGCTTAGTGTTATTTCCTTCTAGGTCATAGAAATAAAGATTCCTGCTTAACTCCATTAAATATCTTTTCACTCTTCAAATGATTAAATAATAAGACACAACCAGGAGAAATTTGGAGAAAAAATGATAACTTAATTCAAGTATTTTTCTGTTTGCTTACTGACAAGGTATTTTGGATCCATGTATAACTTAAACAAAGCAAAAAAATATGTAATTTATAAATCTATTCTGGAGAATGGCTTCTCTCTCTCTCTCTCTCTCTCTATATATATATATATATATATATTTTGGTAATCCTGGTTTGTCACTGTATGGTACAAAAATTTAACACATTTATTTAAAGCCATTTAAGTGGAATATCTGTATATCTGTTCAGATATTTGAGTCTTGAGTCTTTTGGAAATTATTAGGACACTGATCACTAGAGCTTGGACAACAATGGTTTGGAATCCTTGCCTTAACTGCAACAATGATGTAGCCAAGTTGGGTCTGTAAACTTGCCATTATTTGAGAAAAATCGCAACTGAAATACTCATTTTTCCCAAATAAGACTGCACAAATTAGCCAAAATTACATCTATTTGCTTTTGACTAGAATAGCAATATGACATAACATGTTCCCATCTTGAATTAATATATTTATTTCATTAATCAAAATGTGAAAACATATTAATAATTAATATACCCAATGTGACTATAGTTCATGAGATAGGGGTGAATGACACAAAACCTTATTTTGGGGGTAAAATTTTGAGAACCCTTGGGTTAACACGGGAACCATCACTGGCATTGCCCAGTTTTACTTGGAACTGAAGTATCACTCCAAGTATTATTTAAATGCCCTTGAGTATTGCTCCAGATAACCAATATATATCTCATATAATAAATGGATGCATGAAAATAAAACAGTTGCTTCTATAAGTTCTCATTTTATTCTTCTTTGTGTAACCACTACAGGTCTTCTCTACAAAATTTTAATACATGTGGCATAACTCCTCTAAATGCCAGTAAATGGGACTTTTGTTAGATCTTAGTTTCAATGTTCTAGGGCATGAATGACTCTTTTCAGGCACCTGTGGGAGTCATTAAAGTGCAATGTTGTGTAAGCCATATGGTCACAGAATCTATGTTTTAATACAGAACTTCTCAAACATGTCTTGCAAATATGGTTAAAATTTTGTCCAGCCAGTTTTGTATCATTAGGATAAATGATAGAAAATTAAGCCTATTTATGGAAATGTGGGTTCATTTGTGTCTTTGGAAAGGACCCTTGAAGATTATTTTTAGTAAAGAAATATTCTGCATTTACAAGGAGACAGTACAACTCCATTCCTTCATCACAGGACCCTATTCTTTGAATCTGTAGGGTGCGGATGTTTCAGTCCATGCTAGTTGCGATAGAGGGAGATGGTGCAGAGGACATGGGCTTGTCTTCAGGTTTGCGGAGGATTTATGAACAAGAAAAGCAGGGGTTGTTTGGGTGGTTATTTTGAAATGATGCAAACTATTGTAATTTTCACTTTTTCCAGATAATTCTCTCAGCATTTTGGCAAAGCATAATGGGTTCAACCGCCAGAAGCAAGAAGTCTATCTCTTACCAATCATAATCAGTGACAGCGGGAACCCTCCTCTAAGCAGTACCAGCACCCTGACCATCCGAGTCTGTGGCTGCAGCAATGATGGTGTCGTCCAGTCTTGCAATGTTGAAGCTTATGTCCTTCCAATTGGGCTCAGTATGGGCGCCTTAATTGCCATATTAGCATGCATCATTTTGCTGCTAGGTATGTATTTCCATCATAAGTCTCATGGTCACTATTTTTCTGGTTCACACATTACTGTAACTAAGGACTGTAAACCCTCAACCAGCCAGGTGGCAATGTGCTTTTCAGGGAAGAGTAACTTCCGTGCACTTCTCCAAGCTTTGAGGTCACCAAGGGAGGGGAGAAGGAAAAAGAAAACAAGGTCGTGATGGCAAATGTCCAGACGGTGAAGACTATTCAGTGCTTTTTCCAATCCCATCATCAGTGAAGAAACAGAATAAGTATCACGGTGGTGGAAGTGGGGCTGGACCTTTATGTGGGTACAGTAGCATCTATGATACAAGAAGGCCTGCACATCTTCTGATGTACATCAGTTTACTGTAATATGAAGCTCTTATGTGTCCAAAATACGCTTTTATCTCAACAATGTATAGATTGGATTGCTGAGTCTATGATTTGCAATTTTTGGTGAGATTAAAAAAACAAGCAAGCAATGTTTTTTTCAGTTTCATTGTGTTCTTCAGTTATTTTTCTTGTTTTTAATATCAAATTAAAATGAAGAATGTTTTTTCTTATAACTTTTCCATTAAAACATCCAATTATAAAAATGAGACTAGACAGTAGGAAGATATGCAAAAGGAAAGTTTTATCTTATCCAACCTTTAAGAAAAAAATCACATCAGTCACCACCTCCTTGGTTTTATCTGTCCTATTTATCCAATGCCCTGGGTTGAGCATTATTTCCTGATGTATTTTATCCCATTAGCCCCAGTCTGATTTGGCTGATCTGTCTAGTTCGGTACATGTGCCTCCCACTGTCCCCACCTTTAGGCTTACCCTCCCAGACAGGGGAGTACTAGCCTTTGCACAAAACAAGAAGCTGCCCGTGCAAATTTAACATTCATCTTGATACATCACTTCATCTATGAATGAATATTACTTGATTGGAGAGTGACTTGGAGAACTGATAAAACACAAAATATATTAGATATGATCTATTGCACTTTTTCTTTATAGAAGAGCAGCATGGAACTAAATGATAGTAAATGACTTGCCCAAGATACACAAATTAGTTTTGCTATCTGTGCTGTTTTCTGTTTTGTGCAATTCACTCTAGAGCTCATAACAGCACTAAATGCAGTTTTCACCATGAATAGATGCAAACATTCTTTTAACCCAGTTTCATTGCCATTTAATAAACAGAAGTGACTGGAATAGTAGTCACTCAAAATTCCATGTTCATGCTTCAGAAAGTTGTTTAATTCCCAAGTGAACGTCATTCAAGCTGTGTGCTCATAAGATTTTAAATAATCCTCCTCTCTCTTAACATACACATGTTGCCTGTGAAATTGTACGGGAGCTCCGCTAATTGTTTTTTCACGTTTTCCCCAGTCATCGTGGTGCTGTTTGTAACTCTGCGGCGACATAAGAACGAGCCGTTAATTATCAAAGACGATGAAGATGTACGAGAAAACATCATCCGCTATGACGACGAAGGAGGAGGGGAGGAAGACACGGAGGCTTTTGACATTGCAACTTTACAAAACCCAGATGGAATTAATGGATTTTTACCCCGTAAGGATATTAAACCAGATTTGCAGTTTATGCCAAGGCAAGGGCTTGCTCCAGTCCCAAATGGTGTCGATGTTGATGAATTTATAAATGTGCGGCTACATGAGGCAGATAATGACCCCACGGCCCCACCCTATGACTCCATTCAGATTTATGGCTACGAAGGCCGAGGGTCTGTGGCTGGCTCTCTCAGCTCCTTGGGGTCCACCACCTCAGACTCAGACCAGAATTTTGACTACCTCAGTGACTGGGGTCCCCGCTTTAAGAGACTGGGAGAACTCTACTCTGTTGGCGAAAGTGACAAAGAAACTTGACAGTGGATTATAAATAGGTTCATGAGACTGAGCGCTCTGTAATATTCTAGGGTCACTCCCCTTAGGTACAACCAATGTGGCTATTTGTTTTAGAGGCAAGTTTAGCACCAATCATCTATAAACTCAACTACATTTTAATGTTGAACCAAAAATTAATAATAAAAAAAATAAAAAGTATATGTTAGGAGGTTATAAATCTTGTGGAGTGTGAATTAAAGTATGTGGAGTGTCTAGAAGTCTTTGGACATTTGATATTTACCTGACCACCACAGACAAAGATTGGGATCCTGGCTAATGCTTAGAGAAATGGTTTAAAAAGAGGAAAAAATCAAAATTAAAAGGTGCTTTCTTAGAAAAATGGACCTGCAAGAAATTTGCTGCTGATATGTGTCTTCTGCAAGGATTTTTATAAATGCAAATGGTTATTTCCCCTTCACCAATAAGGATCCCGCCACAAATGATAAAGCAATACTTGGTCTGCTGTACATTGTGACTTTTTGGAGTTTTGGGAGGCCTCTAGATTATACGGTACGGTGACCACACATTGTACATAACTGTTGGCCCCAGTCATCAGAGACTGAATAGCATCTTTAAATATTGTGTCGAGCCTTAAAATATTCACATGTTCGTAATCCATTCCAGGGCGGGGATTACCAACTCAGTGGTGGGAGGAGAGAAATCCCAGGCAAACAGGCTTGTTTTCTGGAAGCAGGATTGCTCGTTCCCTCCACGTCATCTTCTTCCACAAGGACACAAAGACAAACTGTACCACACAGTGGATTACATGAGAGACAGATGGTTTTATTGCTAGTGCGTGAATTTATTTGTTTAATCCTCAAAATAAATATTTTATTGATGTCCATTAATGCTTTTATTTATTAAGGTTGGTAATCTATAGATTAAGGGATTATATGGGGAAAAAACTAAATTATATCCATTAATAATCCTTTAGATTGTTTTATATAAATATATACACACTGAAATGTTTAATATGTGTACATTTTGACGAGATGAGTATGGCAGGCAATATTATCAAAAGGGGGGCTAATAGTCTCTTTAGAGTAGAAAGTGTTATTGTGACTGATGATGGCAGGAACAGCATTTTCCCAGAGAAACTTTTGGACTGTTTTCTATTTTGTTCATAATCCTAGTATTTGGTGTTTTTACTACAAGCACAAACATCCGAAAGTATGTTGATCCACGTGAATATTTAAATTCTAGACTTTTAGATACCTACACAATGCCCTGCCCAGTAAATATGCTTCAAGTTGCCCCCATTGTTTTAGAGCAGGAACTGATTTGTACATAAGTTTTACTGCTTCTGTTTTTAGTCCTTCCCTCCCTGATCTTCATGGTGATGCACAGAACATCTTAGACTCCAAAAGAAAACAGCACTAGAAGATGTGAGCATATTCAATTTGTAATGCAATCCTGCCATTTAGGAGTAGAAAATGTATGATAAAACTCAAGTACTACATGCAGATCATTTTAATTTTCTACTTTGCTTTAATGCAATATTGTTTATTTACTCCATGTATTGTATTCAGAGAAACTCCTGTATTGTTTCCTACTTTGTGAAATATATTTTTATAAATACTTTTGTTGTCATCATTTCTTTTCCTAAGTAGATGAAGACCTATTAACAGAGTCATCAACTCTAACTAAAATTCTAAATGTTCAATGAATTCATCCGAATGATCACTTTTTATTTGTAAGAGACTTGACTCTTACAGAATCAGAGAAGAGAAAGGGCTTGACAACAATCACACAGCAAGATTCCAGCAGGGACACCAAGGGAACATGGTGTGCGTAAAGGCTGGTCCAGGTCTGTCATTGGTCTTCCTGGAAGCGGCTGCTGAACACAGGAGTTAAAGAAAAGAGCAGGACTGAGCAGGGAAAGCCTTCAGACAGGGAAGCAGATCTGCAACTTGTAAAAGGAAGTTTCTTAAATTTAAAATCCAGGATGGAGGATTTGGCAAAAGAACTTTAGATTGCCATACAGACCTGACAAAACTCTACTAGCCAATGAGGGTGTTCGGAATGAAAGACTGCCTGAAGAGGGGTCTCACTGGGCAAAACCAGTTAGGTTTTAGTTTCCCTGCCATCTCAGTCGTTGGCTTGGGTTTACCTGAGAAGAGTAAGACGTTGGCTAGAACACAACAAGCCCTGGAGACTGTTTCCACTGTGACAGAAACACCATGTTTGAATAGCATACTTTGAATTCACAATTATCCAGGAACTTAGTTGAGTCACTAAATTTCTGTTGCCTGAGGGTAGTTATCTTTTTTGCTCATCCTTATGGCTATTGATTACTTTTCTTGAGGTCAAAGTGACGGTACAGAGTCACTTTACACCAGCACCTGGCACAGTGTCTAAAACAGATAGTGGATGAGTGTAGATTTTTAATAATTGTTGTAGTAATAATAGTGATATTCCAACTATATTCCATACTAAATAATGGAGAAATGATTGCTTTTTCACTTACCTCTTGCACATCAGACTCATTTCTAATGTACTTCACAGTGAAGTGCCATAGATTATAGACATTGAAACATGTCTAACAGAAAAATTACATTATTTTTCAGGAATATAAAATCTATATTCTTCAATCTTAGGAAATAATAGGATAATCTTCATGTGGTAGCTGTCATGGGCAGGAGATGTTTAGTAAAGTAGTTGCCCAAATCTTACTTAAAAATTCACTTTGCCTGGGAAGATAGAATGAAAGTGTGGGTCTCTTACTGATTTTCTTTGCCATCACCATGCCAACATCTTGTGCTTAAAAGCCCATTTGATGCTGTGTAATTTGGAGTCAAGTAATAATACCATGCTCCACCATACTTTTATTTAGAGTTCCCTAAATTTAAACAAAGATCTGAGAAACATGCACAAGCACATACACACAAACTTGACTGAAGTACTTTTTACTTTACTGATACACTTGCCAGAATTTCCTCAACCAGAAGAGGTTGATGGGGTTCCCAACCATTTTTTTATTTTAGAATTTGAGTATCCTATGCACTACTTCATAAATAATACCTTTTTAAAGCTTTATCAAAGTGACTACTTGGCCTTGTGCATTGTATTCTGCTGTAGCAATACTGACATATGTCTTGCACATACAAGTGTGGTTATTTTCCAAATGCAATGTTTTTCAATCCACAGGTATTCCCATGTGACTGTCAGTCTTCACTGTTTCCCAAGCATCAGTTTTCCCATTTTTGAAAAGTATCCCTGTCCAAGGGCTCTTACCTAGTGGAGAAGAACCACTGAGTTGGAGCCATGTGAGATAAAATTGCTTACCTCACAATTCAAGTTTCTTTCTGGAGAACTGATGCACCCCTGGGCGACTGCACTGCACCTGGGATCAATTTAGCCTCAACCCTGTCCACTATCTGATCAAATTAAGTTACAAAAATGTCTCCTGAACATCCGTATATGTATATTACAGAATATTAAGCAGTTACTCCTTACACTAATATTTTATGATGAAGAATAGTTTATAATAAGGTGACTAAAATATGCTGGAAATGAAATTCAAGTGTTAACCTTTCCACACCTACTTGAGATTTTTCAGATATGAACTTTATAGTGAAAATATTTTGGAAAAATGTGTGGATAAGTGCTTGTGTGTATATAAAATAAAAAGAAATTTAGACTCACAAGCACCACCAGTGAAACAAGAATGCTTAGGAAGAGCCAAATGTGTTTTGGGGAGAGTTTGCTTAATCAGATGCTTAAAGTAATACAAGTCTCTGCAGGAGACCGGGAAATCTCCTAGGAGCAGCTGGACTCCACACTGAGACTCAACAGAGTTCTGGGCTCTGCTGTATTTTGGAGAAGGAAAAGCGGGTGCTGAGAGCTAAGTAGCCAATTACTCTTTTATAGCCACATAAGGACTGGAGGCAAGTAGGCCCTTCCAGCAAGTTGTATTATGCGATCACTGCCTTTGCAGGGAATCTCACAAATGTATAACCTTCTGATTGCCTTTTTGATTGAAAGTTCCATCTGAGATCGAGGCAGTGCAGCCAGTAATAAGATTTCAAAAATCCCATCACTGGCTCTGTTGGAAAGGCTGAGCATGACTGAAATCCCATCATTGTCAGTCAAAAAGATAAGGTAACAGTGGGCACCACTGTACAAGCTAAAGACATGCACAATTTACACATGAATAGCAACAAGGAAGAGAATGTATATATTTACATTTACACGCACACACACACATACCCAATTACATTATTGTGGACACATTCACACTGGTAATTTTTTTATCTCTCAATCACTCTAACAAAAACCGATAATGGGGGCTTTTTGTTATTCTGAATCTAACCTTGAATTTGAAAGAAATTGGATTGAGGGTAAAGGAATTTAAATGCAGGTTTTTTTGAGAACAAAATAATGGCCCATCATACCTGAGATTAGAATGAAATATATCACACTGTGAAGCTGGATTAGCTGTGTTCGGATTAGTGTGTTTTTGTGGAGAAAATAATTGTATAATGTATTTTTCAGGGAATAGTTTTCAACATACTTTTGTTTTTCTCAATTCTAATACTGTTTTATTTGCTATACAAAGTTTCCTTGAAAAGTTACTCAGCTAGGGTTGTATATATTGTTGTTGTGGTAGTTATTGCTCTTTATGATGAGTGTAGAAGACAGAAATTCTATTATTGAAGTTGACTTTTAAAAATTATTTTCTTCTTAGTCCACACAAATTTATCACACGGTATGCTGGGTTTTTGTTTTCATTTGTTCATTTGTTTACATGACAGACTCTTCATATTAAAGATATTCTAGTCCTAGCATTTTTTACATAATCCTAGTATAATGGGGATCACATAATTTAAAATCCCCTGACCTAATGAACTCTCTAAAAGGAAATAATTGTGTCTCCTACCTATATTTAGCATCAGCCAGGTCAAGAACTAGACAATATAGTTCTGAAAAGATTAAATGAGATGGCATCTCTAATCTCACTTCCTGTATTTATAAAATGGAGCTAATGAATCTCATGTAAATGAATTGTTGAAGCATTCTTTGTCTATGCTCTTATAAATAGCATTTGACTCTAGGTTTAAAGTGAGGTTGGTGTGACATTAAAGCCCATAACTTTTGACCAAACAACATTTTCTATAATTCTGACATGAGGCTTGTAATGATAAGAAATAGAAACTAAGTCACATCCAGGAAGACCTGAGGTGGAAGTGAGTGACTCTAAACAGGAAGAAGTCTTCATGGAAAAGTTTTCAAAAAAGATAGTGACCAAACAATAGGTGCAAACAGAAATAGTTTTTCAGACACCCAAGAGGGGAGAACTATAAAAATATCACATTTATAAGTTAATATCACCTCTTTGGGCACTGAGAAAGATCCAGAAAGTGGACACTTAAGGGACATTTCAGGTTTGCCTATATTGTGTCATGTTTTGCAGAGGAGAGAAATGAGACTTGGAGATATCTTAAGGGATTTTTCAGGGCTAAATCTAGTGAGAGAGACTGGAACTGATCTCTGGTTCTCAAGCTCATTGTTAGAACTGTGAAGTTGTGTTTTTGTGCACGTGCTCCCTACTCCTTTGTTTACAGAAGTGTTGCCTGGCCACAAGGCCAGCAGGCATTTGCTGGAAGAATTAGTGTCTGGGGCATTCTTCCCACCACTTGAGTTACCTGCCATCATCTGACACACATCTTGAGTGTAAGTATTACCTCTCTCAGGTATCTTTCTTAATAGATAACAGATATCTCTGTTATAATCCACAGATGACAGAAGTGGAGTTGTTAGAAGGAATAATACAAGATGCTGTCCGAGGACAAAAACTATAGAAAACAAAGCCTTGAATGAACCCAGAGACCTGGACAACAGAAGAAAACAAGAGGTCCCTGGAGGTAAATTTTAATTTCTTTAGATCTTCTCTTACATGCAGAGATATCCATAGCCATCCTATGATGCCTCATGTGTATACATGAGCTGCATTTTAAGGACTCTGTGCTAACTGAACACAACAGTTTAGGAGTCATTAGGATCATTCTCTCTTCCTAATATATACATCCCTAAATACAACTTCACCTACTGTTCTTCTAGGTCTTTAATTCACCCTCTAGAGTTTGAGAACTATTCTGTATTGGTCTAGTCTAATCCTTGCACAAGTGAGTAGATTATCTAAGCTTAGAGATGCATCTATAAATAACCATATTTCAAATAAACAAAGCACAGGACCTTTCTAAATTTCCTTTCTACAAAGCTTGTGCTAGATCCTATGATTATAAAACACTTGTGTTGCCTTTCTAAAACATAGAGCCTAACTGGCTAAATTATAGAGGCAGATAAATGATAAAACATTGCATTTGTCTATGCTATGGGAAAGGTGGGAAGTACAAAGAAATGATACCTGCTAAGGCGTGGTATCCTGCTAGGGACTTTGTCACCGAGAGCCTCGGGGAGAGCATACCAGCAAACTGGGAGTATCACAAGGTCAGGTTAGGGTCCGGGCACTTGAAAATGAATTGTGCTGCTGGGGTTGGAAATCTCTCAATGGATTTTACCGCTAATACCGCTTGCCATATGAAACATG